TGATTTGTTGACCTTGACCTCTGCTACAGGTCAGTTCCTTCCAAGCATTTTAAAGAATTCAACTAAAGCACAGTCTCATTTCCTTTAATGTCCCTAAAAACACCGAGTTCAATTCCTAACTTTAGAAGCACATTTTACAGATTGTTTCTATATTGGATGCGCTAACTTGCAAACTATCATTTTATGAAGACGATCTGAAAATAAAACTGTGAGTTGGTGATCATTGTTTGGAAGTTTGATTCAATTCTGAGCAATACTCCAGGAGAAATGGCGATTCTAGTAAATCATGGACCAAAACGAACAAACTTATGAGATAAGAAAAAATCCAGCAAAGACCTGACACAGGACCTGAGAGACACAGCTGTCATTCAGTTGATCCATTTATTGTTAATTAAAGCCTCATCACAAATGGTCCCAGTGGATGGGTAGCTGTCAGGACGCAATGCTTAAGGAAGGGGAACTGGGAGAAAAAGCTGAGTTGTGCCAAAAAACCTCCCCACAAGACTGAAAATTAGTGGCAACTGATCTGATGGAGTGATGAATCCAAATGTGAAGTTTTTGGTTCAGTAAGTAAGGATGAGCTCAGGAGAGAGGTACAACAGTGAGTATCTACAGTCATCTGTAAAACACGATGCTGGCTCCTTCCATTGTTTGGGACTATATTTGAACCAGTGGTGTTGGGGATCTTTCAAAATTTATGGAAATATGAACAAAGAAATGTGCCATCAGATTTTAATCCACCATGTTGAAAGCATCTGACTGGCAGTGGCTTTTTTCAGCAAGACAATGATCCCAAACACTGCCAATGCAGTAAAAGCATACCTGGATAGAAAAACACACAATGGAACATTTATCAGTCACGGATTGGCCTCCCCAGACCCGGCATCTCAACATGAATAAAGAGTGTGGGATCATCTCGACAGAGAACAGAACAAAAATCAGCCAACATCCAAAGAAGAGCTTTGAATGTCCTTCAAGAAGCCTGGAGAACTATTCCTGAAGACAACTTAAAGAAATTAGAAGAAAGATCACCTGAGAGAGTTCAGGCTGTGTTGAAGAATAAAAATTGCTACAATTGTACAAACTCTGTTTTTGCCTTAACATACTGTATTTCCATCCATTTTTGCACACGTTCCAATAACTCACTCTGACTATTTCCCATTTTCCGAGCAAAATATAAAGAAATGAGTGATTCAAAACTTTTGCACAGTAATGTAAATCTGATATAGTAATTGATTTAAGAATATTTTGGCGATCGTGAGAGACTTTGATATAGATGACCATTTACTTATGATTTAGCAAGACTATAATTAAACAAAAAGAAAATCCCCTGCTCTGTGATCAGTCCATCCATCCACTAATGCTCATTTACTGCTATTTTAATCCATCATGTTATGCAGATACGATCAACCCTTACAGACATTTAGACGATGAATGTATTTTACCACAAGATACTTTAAACATGCCTTCTTAAATCGCATAAACTCAATGCTCCTGAAACTTCTCTCATCTCATAATAAATCATTGCAGTAAAACCGTTCACTCCACCATTCTCTCAAAGCTGCATGCACAGGATCATTCTGCAAACGCAGTGCAAATAACACAGGTGTAATTGCTGTCTTGTGACTTTGCAGTTGAAAAGTTTTAGCAAAAACTTGGTGCTTAGCAGCACAACGTGTGGGGAAAAAGGGCCTGATCCAGCCTCCGCCAGCTGTTTCTTCTCGCAGTGTGAAGGGCTTGTCGGTGTTTTCCAGCAGTCCCTCCCTTCTGCAAAGCTTCCCAGGTGTAACGGCTGACCTGCCAGATTGAACCACATCAAACCTCACGAGCAGGAAGCTTTCCTTCACTGTTATTACTGAGATAAAGACCCTGTGTTCAGCACTGCGCTATTGTCATCCAGCCCGCCACAAATTTATGTTTATATGTCTCCCAAGAAAATTGTAAGAAAATAGAGATATCGTCTAAAAAAACAGAAAAAGGGTTGTATTAATATTTTATTTTCTTCTGTACTGTTTGTGTTACTTTGTGTTCCACACACAAAAGCTCAGGAAAGGCAAACCACCATCTTCAGCCACAGATCTTCATCTCTCTTCATCTCTTATGACCTGTTTCTACACCACCTTTCCAGTAAGTGCCTCTGCTGCTTCCCGCTAACTACTAGCTTTGTTTGTCTCAAAGAGTAAAATCTGAGTCTATCCTTCTTTCACTTCTGCCTCTTCCTCACCGTGAAATATTCTTCCCAGGCGGTACCGGCAGTTTCCACCAACATTAACCATCAGACATGAAAGCTTTGCGCTGACTGGAAAATAACACAGCAAAGTCTCAGGTCTAATTATGCTGGTTTAGTTTATGACCTGCCAGCTCATGTCCATTATCTTCCCCTCCAGCCTTTAAACTTCACCTTGCTCGTCACTTCCCAAACCAGGTGGGGATCAGTGCAGTCTTCACTTTTCTTTTTTCTGATGGTTCTCCAGACTGCCTGTTCTCATTCCCAGGCCAGCTAAGAGATTCACACAGGGTGTCTTTTGGCATCTGAGGCATCATGTCTCACTCTCAACTTGTTAGGTATAAAAATGTAGTTGCTTTCTTAGAAGCCTTTCATCTCTCTTCAAGTACACCTTTAAAACGTGCTGGGTTAGAGCTGAGTACTTTTTGGATTTATGAAAAAACAAAATAAAACAGAGCATTCTGGATGAGAAACTTTTGATGTCTGCCACCTTTGTGCCTAACTATATAGACTGCTAGTGATACTAAAAACACAGCAAATGATATTATTTGGCACATAACTGCATAAAAATCCTCCAAACCCTCAAAACTTAGAGGATTAAAGATCAATCCTCGCAAGCAGCTGGTAACATCGACCTGTCACTCGTGTGCAGATTAGGCAGTTTTAACAGGTGAGTAAGAAGAGGGAAAATTAGTAACCAAAGGGTTTTTTTAAAATTATTTTCATGTACACTTCTACTGTACAGGTGGGTATTTTAACGTGTCTCTAAGACTGACCATTCCATGAACTGCAGTCTTTGGCACCTCTGCACAAACACATGCTAGCTGTTTGATCTATTCCATCCATTTGGACCATGAATTAAAAAGAATAATAATTACTTCTTGACATGACTAAGATAGAAAACAATGTTTTTATGTTGTATGTCATGCTTATTGTAAATGAATCCTGCAGGGTAACTTATAAAAGCAAACTTTGTCTATAAAACATAGTCATATTTGGCTTTCCTGTTATGCAGAATTTACATATTTCTAGAGACAGTTACATTGTTCCATTGCATTTTGAATAAAGTAAGGTGCTATGGATGGCACACGCTAAAGTGGTTCTGTGAGTTTTAGACTTCGTAAGCGCTTTAGTAAGTGCTTTGTTAAACATGCTCATTACTCACTCTGAAGCCTAAAATAATGCTGATTTCAGAACACTAGACCACATCCAGCTAAGCTTCTCAGACTAATGAACACACACGGCATCAAACTGATTGCATTTATATGCTTGGTGTATTATGCAGAGTTAGAGAGCTTGCATGTATATTTTCTGGGACTGTTGTGGAGGGCTGCACTGCTGAACTGAATTCAGTATTAGTATGTGTCTAGTTATATGCTTTATGTCATTTTTCTATTAATATTGTTATTGACATTATTATTGTTATTACGCAGCTTTCCGCAACAGTCCCAGTTTCTCATGTGACTCCTTAGGAAAATTAATTGCCCACTCCTGCCTTCGGCAATATAATTAGAGAGGCATTTCATTGGTCCAACATAGCCAGGCATATAAAAAATGAACTTCAGTTACAGGAAAAGAAAAACTAATTGCCACCACAGAGTCTAAATCCACAAACAAAGCTGCCTGCCAACTACTGAAGAAAAGATTTGTCACAGAATGTACTTTGACGTGACACTGTAGAAAAATCACAGCTGCTGTTAGCAAAATGAAAGCAGTCTCAGTCCCATTCATCATTGATAATGGGAAAACCTGCACTTTTCCTACGGACAGCACAATAAGAACGTTTTGAAATAGAGGTTTGGATGCCAATGATCAAATAGTTAACTGTAATATTGTGTAAATGCATAGCTGATTTCACAGTCATGCTGATTGCCTTCATTTTTCTTATCTTAAAGACCCACTAAACATGTGAGCAAGTATCAGAGACAGAACTAGAAGCGATTGCCTTTGCAGAAATGGACATTCCCGGCATTTCTGAAGCTGCTGTTTCTGTGAGAGCAGAAATGATCCGTGACTGAAAACGCAGAGCTCCCGAGCAGTTAGCCTCTCAGATGTGAGCTTATCATCAGCTGTTAAGAGCAGTGTGAATTCCTCAGGCCTCTGGCTGCAGCCCAGAGCATTTTTGAGCTGATAGGAAGAGAGGGTGGACTGCAGGTGCAGATGTGGGCCTTACATCCAAAGCATGTGATGATTAGACCGAGAGGATCCGTGTTACTACTCGTGTGAGAGAAGGATGTCATCCATCAGCGAAAGACAGAGCGGGAGACGTCAGATGAATAAAGGAGTGATGTCAAGCATGACTCAGAGTTTGCAGAAACACATTTTGATAGAAGTGTTTGGCTTGGGTGTGTCTCTCTGTTATTGCCTAATTGTGGAAATGATGGCGATCCAGTCAGCAGCTTGCAAAATTGACTTTGATTCAACAATCAACTTAACTAACTCGTGTATGTAATACTACTTCATGTTTCACTTATGCTCGGTTTTGGTTGCAGTTTCCCATGATGAGTATTTATAAGCCGCTGGATGTCAGGCTGTCAAGATGATTTACAATTTCAGGACTTGGACATTAGACAAATTTAGATTTTATGGTTATGGTATTTCTATTTTTAATAAGTTACTTCAGGACAGGAAGCTGTAACACTGCACGCCCGCTGGTCGTATGTGGTTGACTTTCAGCTGGTGGCGGGAGTTGTCCTTTTATTAACACCTAAGCTGGCTGAGCGGTGGAGCAGCTGCAGCACAGCATTTGTCTTGTAGTGTTATGTAGTCTTACCAAGTTTCTGAGGAACGGCACGGTTACCAGGCTGCCACAATATCTCCCACCGGACAGTCGAGAGGAACTTCCCAGAAGATCAAATCTATTCAAAAGAAACAGAAACAGGGTGTAGCTGTGGGTGCGTTGTGGATGCACAGTATCATGTCAAAAACCACTTGCTTGACGGTCAAAACTAGAGGAGAAGTCAAATCAAGGATAAAACAAGAAGCGCACACCTCTGCAGTGGCAAATCACTCTCTGGGGAGCATTTACTTTTAAGGGAATAACGCTGTATTTAGTACATATTCATTTTGTTTTCGCCTTTCTGTTTAAATGCGCTTTAAGAAGTTTGCAGTGCAGCAAAAATCAGATAAGAGCGACGTGACAGATGTTTACTATGATTACACAAACATTATGTAGAAGAGGAGCAGATATTGATTAAGTAAATAAGTGGACACGAATAACGTGAGCTTAATATGTAGCATTATAATACGGTATATGTCTAACTGGCTGGCAACACTCTCTTTAAAGGTGTAACAAATTTGGGGATCAGCTTAAAAGTAAGGCAGATGTGAAATGTAAAAGTGAGGTAAAATGTGATATTTAGAATCCCCATATCCTCGTAAAACCCCGCTATTAATTTTTGTCCTCTGTTGGGGGATATGAGACTGAGACCGCTACACCAAGCACCTTTTATGCAACCTATATGACATCCTGGGCTTCCATATTTTATGGCCACAAGGAAGGTTAAGTGATACTTCTATTGCTTAGACTCAAATTTCTTCAATTTGAGGATCTTAACTTTAGTAAGCGTTCAGAAATGCACCCCATCCAAAGTGAAACTTGTATTCAGTGTCCTTTGTAGTGGACTTACTAGCTCACATTTTTAACCATGAGGAAGCAGAGGGCAGGATGAGGCAGAAAGGATTTTACTCAGGACGGGGAGTCAGTCTGTCAGAGAAGAAGGTGGAGGAGGGCCAGACATCAGAGCAGGAAGGTGAGTGCTCAGTCGACATATTAGCTTTTGAGGAATCTAAGCTGGCACCGACTGTCTGTAATAATAAGAACTGTTTAATGTAGGGGTCTGAAGGTTTGGGGGGAAATACACCACCAGCTCAGAGTTTGATTTCTTCTTTTATCCTGTGGATTTATGAATTTATTAATATCTATGCTAAAATGCATTAAACTGTAGGTCTTCTGTCTTTATCAATTCAGTTTCAATCATACTGGAATTGGGTTGCAAATATTTTGAAAACAGGACATTACTACCCAAAATCACCACAAAGGACGTCCTCTCATTACATTGAACAGAAAACAGGCAACCAGGTTGTAGAAAAATAAAGTCAGAGCTCACAAACAAGGGGGTGGTGCTCATCACTGAACTGAAAGTAGCATTAATACCATACTGAAACTGGGTTGATTTGTTTTTAATGACACATGAAAACAGGACAATGCTGCAGTATTTAAACTGAAAAATACTTAAACTGACAACCCATCACCTGACAGTGATGGGTTGGAGGTTAGAGTCCACTTCCACAGTTATGTACAAAATATTTCTCTGCCCCACTAAGCCATTATGTGATCAAACAAGACCTGATGTCCAGAAGATATAAAAAAAAAACAATTTTGGGGAAAAAACCAGCAACGTGTCACTTTAAAACACAAATTTAAGAGATATTATCTAAATAAAATCTAAACATTTTTTCTTCTGGGTATGCCAGCATCATTTCTTATCTGTTTAAAGACATTTTGTGAAAGTTTGACCTTATTTGACCTTGAAGAACAGGTTAGAGGTCCGAAGTAACGTGATATTAAAAATCCACATATCATTGCCCGTATGCCCATATGGTGCCAATACAAACAATGGCAGTAAAAACATAGTTTTAAATAGCTCTATACAGCATTATTATCTCTTTACCGATCAATCATACTTGATATTTTTAATCTTTTTCCAGTAATTTAAGTTGACTATACACACGGCTTTTTGTCATTTTCCAACCAATAAATTAATAATTAAGTTGACACTGAAGACCTTGATGGACTTAAGCCAAATTTGAATGGTGTCATGGTTGTTGACAGAGTGTTTTTGTGTTATTTATAGTCATTGATTTCATTATTTATGATTTTCTCTTGGTGTCTGCTTCTGTGCGCCTCCAATGCTCCATGTTCCACGTCCCCTGTCTTCTCAGTCAGTGTCATGTCTGTGTCTTTGGGATTCCTGGTTCTTAGGTTTTGTCCCTTTGCCTTCCATGTTTAGTGTGTCACATCTCTAGTGTAGGGTTTGTTCTTTCTATGTTTAGTCATCTGTCTTCCCTCTCAGCCGTGTCTCGTGGTTAGTTCTCGGTCGCCGTGCTTGTCCTGTGTTTCCTGGTTTACTTTGACAGTGGGGGAGCCTATCCCAGATGCCACAGAGTAAGAAGTGGGGTACACCCTGGATACACCTCTAGTCTGTCACAGTACTCTTTAAGTGATTTTGCTTAAATAAATTTATCACAAAAAGACAATTTTTAGAAGATCAGTTTGATTCGAGTTCAGCTGATCGCAAAGATCACACCTACACATGCTGTTCTTCCCTATTACTTACACTATCCAACCACTAGAAGGGGCATTCTTTCACACTCATTTTAGAGAAGATCCTTTACACAATTACACTGACTAAGAACTGTGTACACATGTCAGGCTGAAAGAAAAAGTCTTAATCTACCTTCCAATGTTTCACAGTAATCTAGATTTTCAGGGTAAATAGAGGAAGGAATTCACAATATGCACGAAAGTTCTGCTTTTGTTGTTTCTCTGTTAGATGGCAGTGTGTTGAAATGTTGCATTTTGTTGTAACTCGGATATGAACGCGGAAGAGCTGAACGTTTACCCCATATAGCAGAACAGTAAGTTCGTGAGCGAGTTTGGGATTTGTTAAGACAAATCCATGAGACCTGAGTGTTTGAAGGCCTGCATCATACTCAGTGTACTATACGGGCGTTTCTGTAAACTGTATTTTAGGATTTCCGAAGGTGAAGGACCTGTGATGAATGTTTAGAGGGAACAAATGATCTAAATACCAACTTCTCGTCTGAATGAAGCCAGCGTTGTTGCTGTTGTTCTCATTTGTCTCCTTCAAGGACTCCACTGAAGTCTTGTTGGAGACAGCGGCCTCATCATCAGTTTTGACTTCCACAGTGGACTCCACAGGTGCAGGAGGCTCAGCTACATCCGCTTTGGGCTTGTCCTCAGAGCTGTCTGGAGCGGGAGCAGGAGCTGGAGTTGCAGACTCAGTGCTGGGATCAGCAACAGATTTATCAGTCTCAGCTGTAAAGGACAACAAAAGCAGAAAGCACAGCTGTTTTTTGTGGTTCTCAAGATAAAAAAACAGTGATTAAAATAAATGGAAACTGAAACAATGTGGATAAGTAGAATAAACACACGGACTGAGTTTGAAAATACTGGAATGCCCGTGTATTTGTGTCATACCTTTTCGACAGAATGTTAAACTTTTGCAATAAGTTAATTGTGTGAAATTCTTGAAACATTTCTTCATTTTTTCCTTTAAATCTAGATGACATTGCAGAACCGCTGTTTGAATTATTTAGGTGCCCCATAATCACAGCATTTCCACTTAAACAGCCTGAAGTAGTTTGTCCTCAGGCATGATATTTCTTGGGCAAAAGCATTTGAGGGGGCCACCATGTTGGTAATGAGGCAGCTGATTAGTGATCACTTCCTAATGAGCCACAGCCATGCAGCTGTTGGAGGCTGTGGGAAAGTAGGGCGGCCCCATTATTATCTGACCCAGTCTTAGGGAGAGGGAAAGGAGAAATTAAGGAAAGAGGAAGATGGCTGTTCTTCAAGACGTAATTGTGGAATGACTAAGCTGGCTGGTCAGTCGTTATTCGAGCCTTTGCTAAACTATTCTTCACAGGTGGATTCCTGGCATGAATCAGCCTCTAACTACTATTTCGTTTGGGTTTTAAACATGAAGCCAATGCGCAACTCTTTGCTTTTTTTTCAACTGCCACCAGGGGGCAACACATCTATTTGCAAACAACAGGTCTAACGTTCTCAGTACTTCTTCATCACCACTCTCAAAGCAAACATCACGTCTGTAGAGCTCGTTCTTGACATGAAACCATACTGCTGCTCACTGATCATCACCTCTCTTCTTAACCCTAGCTTCAACAACTAGCTTCATGGTATGATTCTTCAGTTTTATCTTCTGTAGTGACGCAGCTCTGCACATCCATTCTCCATTCCTCAGGCATGATCTCTCCCTCCAGAACTGTGTTAAACATCCTGGTTAAACGTATCTTCATACCGTCCATCTGGACCAGCTGCCTCTTCCACTCCTCTGCAAGTCCTCTGCACTTCCTGATTCACTGTCCTCCATCCGTCGTCCTTTTTCTCTCATTTCCCTTAATTATTAGCCCCTCAAAGTACTCTTTCTCAACATACTCTCTTCACTTTTTATAAGAGTTCAATGTCTATCCTTAACCACCCTAATCTGCTGCACATCCTTTCCAGTTTGAGCTCTGCCTAGCCGATCTTTACAAGCCTTTTTCTCATTTCTGTTCAGCCCCACATACAGCTCACCATAAGCCTTTGCCTTAAGAGTAAAATATAGTATAAAGTGAGGAATACCTTGTAATTGAAAAAGCTGCACATGTACAGTTCTCCGATAAAAACAAAACAAAACAAAATTATAACTTGGTTTTTTCCTACTTGTGGAAGGCTGTCGGTCTACTGTTTACCTCAGCTGTCAATGTTGGGTGAGAAACTTTTTTCACTCTGGAAAAGGACTCTAAAACTATGTGAAAGGAGTGCAATGTGAATCAGCTCACTTTTGACCATGACAGCCATACCGAGTTGAATTGTTGCTGGGGATATTCTGAGCTGTTGGTAAGTGCTACTGTTTTAGCTACTGTTAGCCTCTGTTAGCTGTTGTTAGCTTGTGTTACCTGCTGTTTGCCAGCATTAGTGAAACCTTTGAAGTGGGTCTAAAATTGCTGGACTCCACCACTAATTAAATAAAATTTCATATGACGTGAGTATGTAACTGTTTATCAGAGGAAAGGTGAGATTTTTAGGATACTCAAGCCTAATATTAACTGACATAATGTTAGCCTATAGCCAGCTGGTGTTTTTATATAGCAAACTTGTCAGCTGTCTGGAGACAGTAAGATTACATGTCTAATCTACTGAGAATAAGAACGTGCAATAATATCTGTAATTAATTAGCATTTGTGTTAGAGCCCTGACTTCAATTCAGTAGATGAGATTTTAGGTGAGGAGGAAAAGGATCAAAAGACCTCGCCTCTAATGATAAACCATAGTTATTATGCTTAATATCTTGAGTTTAAAGTTTGAGGCACAACTTACTACATATGTGGCCGGTTTTTAGCCGCAAATATAAAATGCCATTAGTAAGAAGTGAGGAGTCATTCCTGGCCACTGAATTCAAATATGGTGGGGCAGCTTCCACAAACCCACTGCTATGTATTTTTAATAGATTTATTATAAGTTTATGAGGATGCATCGGTTTGTTGGAAGATGTAATAACACAGTGAAATGTGAAACCTAGCTGACATGTATACCAGTCAACTAGGTTTCATTTGACCAGATTCCATTTGGCATTGTAGTTATGTTACAAAGTTACACGGGACATTTACGTAGGATTTTGGGCATAAATATTTCTTTGAGTGCAGCAAAAGCAGCTGGTTAACAGCAGCTTGGATTTGTGTTTCCATTCAAGCACAGTATTGACTTACTCACAGTACAGTACAATCACTATTTAAATAATTACATTAAAAAAAGGGGGAAAGAAGTGCTTCTCGTCAAGTTAACACATATAGTCTGATTCTAAATGCTGAAAAATAGAAGCACGTGTGTTCGATTTTTCAGTGGGATGGCTGAAAAAAGCACCTCAAACACTTCCTGTAGATATACCAAGCTATTATACCCACATTTGAGCAAATTATTGTGCGTTTCTAGACTGATGGCAGTTTTTATACATGCTGCCTTTCAGGTCAAGGGCTGTGCAGAGTAACTTGCTATCAAACTGACCTTTGATTGGTTCATTTCAGAGAGAGCCAGGACAGCTGCTTTCCTTGCTTTTGCTGTCAATTGTGAGTAAATCCTGCCTGCTTTGATTTGATGCTTAAACACACCGACAACACGTGAGTAACTATTGCTTATTTCTGGCTTTCTGTGTGAGCGTTATTTGATCTGTATATTTGAGATGTATCCACGGTTAAAACACAGTTTTCTGTTTAAAAATGGCCACTGTACAGAGAAAAAAAGAGAAGTATTTGTGATCGGTCCAAATACAAATGATAAATAATGTTGCCAACTCACTGGCCAGAGGAGTACTCGGTCCTGATAAAAGATCATAATGGGTGATAAGAGTCAGCTTTTGTGTCATTAGTTAAATCTTTCTATATAAAATAGCTGTACAGCAATTTTGATCCTGAAGAAAAATATTAAACCCAACCAAAATAAACTGTAACAAATGCACCGTTTGAATCAGTATGCAATATTTCTGGAAGTGCAAAGCTCTCTCAGTGGTCAGCAAGACAAGACAAGTGAAAAGTCTCCTAAAAACGTCAGCCCATACCCCTTTTGCACGACACGTAGTTTGCAAAAGTCACAACAATGTGCTTATCTCAATGTGTGGCTTTAAGATGCCTGTCAATGTGAGGCGCAGTCATTATTTTCTGCTACTCAGGGTCTGTGTTAGATCTGTGTTTGTGCACCGCTCTGCACAAGATTATACACCACTCTATCTGACATGCAAGAAAATAGGCTGATCTTGAGCTACACCTCAATAGTGTGAATGCCTGTGAGGCATTCACACTATTGAGATCCTGTTTCTCTTTATTCTTTATCCTTTATTATTCTAGTTGCTCCATTTCTTAACTACTCCCTCAGTTTTCAGTCGATTTTCACTGTTCAAACTTTAAACTGTTCTGCTATTTCTGCTATATCTTTTGGTGATGATAACTTTTATACTTTTTCAGATATTCAGCCTTTTATGCCATTTTTTGGCCCATTTGCTAACAGGGACCACATTATCAGTGTGATCACTAGTTTTGCTTGCTGGGCTGAGCCACGTTTTAGCTCAGTGAGAGGGGCAGTCGTTCTCTGACCAGGAGGCCCGGGATCGAATCCCGCTTATGGCAACATTTTTTTCAGTTAACACTTCCACTGTTTAAACTCTTTTCCACACAAATTTCAGCTTTTCACCTCTTTTTGCAAAATTTTCAGTTTTTCACTACTTTTTAGCACAAACTTCAGCTTCTTTTCCTCTTTTCAGCAGAAAGTCTGCTGATTCCCCTCTTATCAGCAGTTTTCAGCCTTTTCACCTCTTTTCAGCACAATTTTCAGGTTCCTTATCTCTTTTTTGCTGAACATTCAGCATTTTCGCCTCTTTTTTTCTTCTTCTGCACAGTGCACATTTTTTCTCTCTCTCATCATATCTATGTTTGAGACCAGAACTGGTTTGGCGCAGTCGGATGCGCAGCTGCCGTGAGCTCTGGTGGCAAGGGTTCGAGTACATGTGACAGATGCTGCACATCTTCCCTGCTTACATGTAATCTGCTTTCAGCAGAGTTCAGCTTCTACACAGTGTTTTCAACAGATATCTCTCCTTCTTCTGCTGTTTTCAGATTCCACTACACGGCATTCACACTGCATTTTTGCAGGAAATGCAACTTTTTCTAGTTTGTTTAAAATTTGCCTTCAAGAGGTCTTTTTTTGGCCTCATATGCTGTATTTCCATTTATGATTGTGGATTTTTCATTAAATTGCTGCACCTGTTTCCAGTAAAATACAGAAGAAGCAATGACGGGCACAAGATTTTTTTACACAGTACTATGTCATAAACTACCTATATGGAAATGACATGTGTTTAGCAGGCTTCAATTTCCAAAGCCTGAAAAGGGCGTATATGCTTGTTTCCTCTCACACCGAATTCAACTATTACCCCCCCCCCCATCAACTTTTCCTTCTTCAAATTTAAAAAGATTTTTTCAAGCCCTAAAATAGTAGATATTAAAAAAAATTAAACAAACAATGAAACTAACTTGCTGTCTTGACACAGACACCTCTTTTGCCCACAAAACCAACAATAGCAGTTCCCCAAATGTCTGCAAGTGAGTGTACATTTCTAGTAGGTGCTACAGATTCTTGTCACAGAGATTAGACAACATTAGTATCAAACGCAGATGGCAAAATTTCATTTTTACTGTCACACGAGAGGGGGAAACAAACAAAAAGCAGACCCTTTCACAACAACTGGGACAAGACATTGTTTGGGAAGGCAGAGAGACACGCCACAATGTCACACAAGGAGAATACTAGGATCGGACAATCTTTATTCATTTACAAGGAAACGAAAATATTAAAGCAACAACATTTTAATGAGCAAGTGCATGACAAAAAGGGAACAATGTTGTATATAGTCACAGAAGAGCAAAAGCTCATCTCCATGATTCCCTGCACAAAGGCTTAGGGATACAGCTTTCCACAACCTCAGGATTTATTTATTTATTAGATCTTGCATCTACTTGGGTAAAGGGAAACTAACCATACTCCTTGTTTCTTAACTTAGCTCCCATTTCCATCAAGTGGTGGGCTAAAGTACTGCAGGGCATCTGTTGTGGGAGCTGTTTTTAAACTAGAAAACTTTGTTAGCTGTGCACACACACATTTCAGAATACTGGAGAACTGTGTGAGTCAGACTGGTGTGTATTGCATCAGATTTTCCCTCTAAACAAACTGACTTCATTTCATATTTTAAGTTTTGTGTTAACCGTTAAGTCAACGTCTGAGTCATGTACACATAAAGATTTCACTATTTCAATATTTACAGCATCCGTGGATGTTGCTACGGTAACGTGTGAGGAGCGGTGTCACGAACAGGACTTCCTTTTTGTTCTCTTAACACATCTTAAGAAAGAGGAAGTGGCAAACACCGTTATACACTCACACCATTTTTAATCCACCAAACACATGCTGTTTATCTGAGTTTCACACACGCGGAAACCATTTTCTTTAACACATCATAGCAGGAAAGGCGCTGGTGTGAAAAATTCAAAGTGAATTATTGGTACAATATCAAAAAACCGTTGTTGAAGTTGTGAGTAAAATCTGGGTTTCCTATTGTGACAAGTCGAATATTGTGAAAAAGATCCAGACAGGTTTGTTCTTACCTTTCTGCTCCTCCTGTGCTTCGGGTTTAACTTCATCTGCGCCTCCTGGCTTTGCCTCCAGTTCTTCTGGCTCTTTCGCAGTAGTTTCTGTACTTTCGAAGGTTTTCAGACCTGAAAAATATTCAGACAGGAAAAATGTTTATTTATTCAGATGGAGGAACCTGGTTCAAAAAACAGAACGATGTTATATTTAAGGCGACACATTGTCTCCAGCCAATAACTGACCATTTTGAGGTGCGGTATCAACAGGCTCCACGGTGCTGAGAGGGATGTTGACTTCATCTTGTCTGGAGGAAAAATCAACCGAGTAGCGCTGAGGAGATCCAGAACACAGGGGAACACATTAGTGCCTTTATTTAAATGTTTTTCTTTACATGCAACACAGATCCCTGGCTTAAACTGAGCAACAAAAGCTGCAGTTATATGACCATGATACCACACATTTTGAAAAAATCTTTGGACCAAACAAGGATATCAGTTCCCCGCACACTCCCAGTCTTTATGAATAAATCGCTGTCTGTACCTAAATGTTTAGCAAACAGTATGAAACCCAGTCAAACCATTCTTTGTTGGGTATTGAATGTAGAGCTTCTTTACTTACTCTTCTTCTTTTCTTTGTCACGTAACAGACAAGTAAAAATGCCACAACCACGAGGATGATAATGACTAGAATGATGATGCCTGAAGGAGGAAATACAATTCATGTTTAGAGTGAAGCACATCTGCCAACACTGTGGCTATGCACTGTGACCCACAGACCTCCAAGTAAAGACCTACACTCACAGGACACTTCATTAGTTACACTATGCAATCAGTGATGCCTTGATTCTCCGAGGCGTAGATTCAACAGGGTGCTGAGAACATTCCTCAGAAGTTTCTGGTCCATTCTGACATTTATACAAAGCAGGATGGATCCATGCTTTTACAGCATATTGCTGACCCTACTACCAGAACGCCACAGATCAGGTAGCATTTTTCAAATTCAGTTTTCGAGTTTTGTTGAGTTGTGCAAACTGTAACTTCACTTTCCTGTTCTTATACAACAGGAGTGGCACCTGATGGGGCCTCCTGCTGCCGTTGCCCTTCTGCTTCAAGATTTAATGTGTTGTGCATTCAGAGACGCTCTTCTGCACACCTTGTGTCGAGCACAAACTGATAGTTTGAGTTGCTTTTCCCTGCAGTCAATCTATTATCCTCTCCTTCTCCCAGAGTACTGCCGCTCACTAGATATTTTCTGTTTTTCAGATCATTCTATATAAACCCTAGAGATGGTTGTGTGGGGAAAATCCCACCAGATCAGCAGTTGTCCCAAATACTCAGTCCTGCCACAACAATCACGTGACATTTAAAGTCACTTAAATAAAACTTTCTTCCCATTCTGACGCTCTCTTGTTCATGCACATGCCTAAATGCATTGAGTTGCTGTCATGTGATTGGCTGAGCAGATATTTGATCGATGAGCAGAAGAACAGGTGGACTTAATGAAGTGGCATGTGACTGTAGATTTACACACTAGATTTGACAGAAAAGTTCTAGCCTCTATGAGGCACAGACATGCTGACGTATGTTTAACTCACCAGTTTTGTCAGAGCCAGCTGTCTTTGGACTGGACGTGGAACCTGTGAGATATACAAGACACTTGTATGAAATAAAAAACCTGCCAATGAGTTGTCATAAAACGTTAGTCTATCCATAATCCAATCGAAAAACACCCACAGCTGACATTAAGGATATTCATATTCATTTGCACTTTTGTTTCAAGCAATTTCAAGCAACTCTTTCCTCTAGCTCAGGGAAACTCATTTAAGATCAAGGGCCACAAAGATGTCCAGTGGACCAAATTCGTATCTTTGCTAGGCCAATTCTGGCCTCTGGAACTTATGTTTGCCTCCATCATTCTTGTTTTATTCCTGCAGAAAATATCTGGATGTTTAGCTGCAAAACGTGCCTCGATGCAAGCACGCCAGGGTTTATCTGAGGTTTTCCACTAAAAACGGTTGCATGACGAGGCTGTGAGCTAATGCTGTCGAAATGAGGAGAACTGCAAAATCGTGCGAACCTTTTCAATTGGATTGTTGCAACAACTGTTTCATCTGTTTGATCTGCAGATGAAGGGTTTATTACAATCAACACAGTTATTGGCATGCAGAGAGCTATGAATAATCATGCTGATTTTGGTAATGTAAGAAATCAGTCCCAGCTTACTCTTCGGGAATGTGCCTTTTGTGGTTTGAGATGTCACAGGACCACCCGGTGCAGGTGTGGTTTGAGGTTTTGTGGTCCTTTTAGTTTCAGTGACAGTCTGACTGCTGGGCTTTGCTCTACCTGTAGTAGCAACACTTATTGCGCTGTTTCCTACAACAAAACAATCAAAACATTTTTTTTTATGTTAAGAAAAATAAGAAACTGTGAAGTTTGGACCATTTACAAGGGTTAAAATATCTGAAAGAACTGCTTTATAGTATAGGCTTTATTGTAAAAGGAGTTCAGATAATAGCTCTCACCAGAAGATTCAGTGCTGACGTTCATTTCAGTACTTGAGATGCTTGTCTTGATGGTAGTTCGATCATAATTGATGGTCGTGTTGGTAATGAAGGTGGTGGTGTTGGTGATGAAGGTGCTGGTGGTGGTGGTGTTGGTGATGGAGGTGATAAGATCTGTCTCAAGTATTGTTTTGTTTGCTATGGCGGTCCCCACAACCAAACCTACACAAAAAATAAATATAATGTTCTAATAGGTCAAAACAATATATCAAACCTGATTACCTTATCATTAAATTCAGTTTCAGCATACCTTTTTTGGCCTTTCTATGCATTTCCTCTTGTCTTTCCCCAGTTCCTTTTACCCAACACGCATTAGACCCACTGTTTCAGAGTGCCTTATCATTTAACACAGTATGAAACTCACAGGTAGTACAATACACACCTATAAAACGTCCACTTTCAGCTCATAATCTTAAAAAAATACGACATATATATAGCAAGAAAATAACTTTAATACAATGCATTAACAACTTGGGAAATTACTCCCCAGATGTTACAAAAACTTTCATTTCTACACATTTCTACAGCCATATGTGAAATCGTGCACAAAAGCACTACAGCAGGATATAAGACCTAGTTCCCATTATATAAAACACACGCAGCCTTATTGAACTGAATCTTCCTGTGTGTTAAGGCAGCGTGCCTGAGAACCTTTTTATGCACACAGTGGTTTAAGTGCAACGTACAACACTCTCACATTTAATCTGCAAAAACAATGTTCTGTCAGATTATGTGATTTTATTAAATTCACATTGTAAAAATTACGATCTGATCCCAGATGGAAGAATTTCTATTGAGGGACACACCCCATTCTCATTCACACACACCCACACACATTTATATATATATATATATATATATATGTATATATATATATATATATAGGCATGTATATATATATGATTAATATACATATTATATATTAATATATATATAACTATATATATATATTATATAATATATATAAATGTATATATCAATATAATATAATATAAACAGTCTTACCCAGCATAAAGAAGAAACTTGATGGCATTGTAAGTCTGTTGGATGGCAGCAGCAGCTGGAAAAGCCAAACAGAAATAAATATAAAGTATCCGTATTTATATGCCTCCTGTCTAAAGGTTGTGCTTTCATATGCAGCGGTTCTTCCTTAATGCTTCAGAGCATTGCATGCCTGTACAGAAAAAAGAGGATCAACCAAAACTCTGACCACATTACTTGAGATAGCGGCGTTGCTCAAACGCCGTAAACGAGAAGAAACGTTGTTGCTCTGTTGCCTCAGAGGCGACTCTCTTCGCAGACCTGCTGCCACAAAACTCTGTTTGTTCCCCATAAACCTAAAGCTGTGAACAACAAAGCAGAGTGACACCTGTTGCCGACTGTGAGCGAACATCTCACTTCAGATTCACCTCTTTAGACCTGTGAACTTATGTTTCGGTGTATTTTCTCCAAGCAGTTAACACCTGCATGTGTTATTCTGGGGAAACTGTGTGTTTCTAAATATAAGCCTTTTCACCAATTGTTCATTATTGTCACTTCTGGCTTATGCTCACTAGATGTCACTGTGACTAAGGGGATAATGCAGGAAAAAGGTGCATCTTTTCTGATGGAAGCTTAATTATGTAGTAAAAGGGCATACAAAATGCATGAATAAAAAAAAAAATTTGGTTTTTCCTGCAGTTTGTCAAGGGGGTAAAGGCATGTTTGTGGTAATAGCAGAGTCCAGTGGTCTGACAGTGATGTTTTTGATTATAGTGAGAGTGGAAGATTGGGTTATTTGCTGATTAAGAGAGATGAAAGATTGATTTCACACTTTAACATTGTCCTATGTTAATGTCTTCGAGGTTTTCGGACTGTTGGTGACTTAAAACTTAATGTTTGAATCTCCACGAGCCTCGATCTCCACGAGCTCCAGGAAGCTCGTGACTGTATTTGTTGCCATTCGTCAAACAACCAGATGACAACCCATACCATCACCGAAAGCAATCTTTTCTTTCTGTAATGCCACCATGTTTTTGGTTGCTTCTGAATGTGTGCGCTATTGTGCAAGTGCGTGAGCATGACTTGCCTTGTGTTGCGAAGGCGCATGTGTGCTCAGCCTTGTGGGTTCATTTATTACTGTTTATTTCCCCCCATGCCAGCGGTAATCAGCAGCAGGATTAGCGTTAACTGCCACCCAGTCACTGGCAGGCTCCACGTGGGCCGCTGCGCCCCCCTCCCCCTCCCGTCGACCGGGTCTCTTCTGGACCCACTAATCCTGCAGAAAAACCCATGTCTGGCTTCCTCTCTGGGCCACCTATTGCCACATCACAGAGCCCAGGCAACAGCATCAGTCCCGGCCTAGTGGATGAGCTAATCGCGGAGAGGAGAGGAGGAGAGGAGAGGGCATGTGTGTGTGAGAGACACGGAGAGGGGAGAGAGCTGGACCACCCACCCAGAGGATTCAGAGGCACAGGATTCACAGCCCATTCTGTTGACCTGCCACACCGCCCCAGCTCTGGGCAAGGCCCTCCCCAATTGTTCCGCCTGCTAACATGAGGACGGGGGTTAGAGGAGGGGGGGGTGGATGAGCAGTAAACAGTGGGCTGAGCTTCTCTCCTTCAGCGCACAAAGGGGCTGAATTGTGTCGGACTGGAGCACTTTTTAGAGTGGCCCTGCCATGGGGCCTGAATGAAACATCTGTGGAGGCTGAGCCCGAGGGAGAAAATGCTATTTTGCTGTTCAACCACACTGACAACCTGTTTTCTCTTTCTTGCACCCCCCCCCCCCCAACACCAGCACACAGCACCACCACCACCACCTCCCCTCACTGTTATTTCTCCCTTGGCCTTGTAAAACTATTCATACTGTATACTCGCATTTGCCAAGCAAGTTACAGAGAAGTAACAGTACACGAGAAAGAGAGCGTGAGCGGTGGCCCGAAGGTTTGGTTGGACATGAAGTCAATTCTTTTTTTCTTTTTCTTTTTTTTGCAGTTTTCTTATATGTTTTTGATGCAGCATGTGATGTCCTTTTTTGTATGTAATTATATTTTACTTTAAAAAAAAAAACCCCAACAACATAAAAAAAGGACAGCAGCTTCTGTCTATGAGTTGTAGCATACCTTTGTGTGTGACTGGAGGTTCTCCATCTAATATTACCTTGTAATACACTTGAGGTGACTGTTGTTGTGCAATATAGATATTAAAAAAGACAACTTAGTTAAAGAATTTCCTCTCATAAATATGGTGACTAAAGTAACGCATGGAGGATATTTGCTCTCCTCAAAAAATGCTGCAAGTACATGCATCCATCAGCATCACCTCTGCAAGGCCTCCTCCCCTGACGGAGATCCCCCCACAGTCCACCCCGCCTCCCCTGACACACACACACTCTGCTTGGGTTCCCCACAGTCCAGCTCCACCATGTGAAGCTCAAAGAGAGAGACCACTGAGACATTTCAGTTTAATTGAAGGGGAAACAAAGATCCCCGCTTATTTCCTGGTCACCCATTTTCTTTAATCAATTTCCTCTCTTTGGTCCTATATCATCTGTAATTACTTTCCCTTTCCCGCCCCTTGTGGGTTCCTCTTGCAGCAAAAGGTCTACACACACACACACACACACACACACACACACACACACACACACACACACACACTTATTGCTAACCCCCTACCGTAAGCAGGCAATACCTTCAGCATCAATACTCGTTGCCCCCCTTTGGCTGCTCCAGCCTGAACAATGAAGAAGGCCCACTGGCTCCAGAACCCCACTAAGCAACCCCTGACCCTGCCCACCTACTCTACTAAACGACAACACACACACACACACACACACTGAGGTTCATGTGGCATGTACTCTCATACTGAAGTTGCAGACATTGTCTCACACACACACAAGTCACACGAGCCTAAAGTGAATGGAGCGAGGGAGAGGGCGAGGGGGGTGGGGGTAGGTTTGGGAGGGGTTAGGCCCACTTTAAATACCAGCTCAGCTTGTAATCGCTGGAGTTTGAACTTAGAAGACTTCTTATGCTAAGAGGTCAAGAAGCCAGAACACTCATTCGCTCCTTTCTTTCTTCCCTGCTGCCCTCTGTCAGTCATCTCACTCAAAGGGTCTCGCTGAGCCGTTTAACCGGTTACATACAGTTACACCAGCGCCGAAACCCTCAGGAAACCGTCGGCATGGCGATTTCAACAAGAGCACACGAGACGTGAGACAAATTCATCGTGGCAAAAGCTCGGCTACCTCCTGAGCTCGAGCACCACAAAGTGAATCTTCTGCCAAATGGAAATTTTCAGGGAGCACTGAGCTCCGTTTGTGAAGAGTTACCAGAGGAATTCGTTAAATGTAAGACTTCCACGCCAACCGGGAATATGAAGACAATGCCTGTAAATGTATCCATCTAGTGTTGCAACAGCTGCTTACCTCGGGACATTTTGTTTACATCTGGTAGAGGGTGGATAAAAATGCCCTCCAAATTATACACCTTTATTGGACTTCACGTTTCCCAAATATGACCACCCAGAGAACATAGCCCATACCACCCACACACTATTGGGTGGATTTATCACTTAGCTGATGAATGAAAGCAGCTTACAGTATTGGCATTGTTGCCTTGTTTGATGGGGAAGTGAAACATCAGAAACACCTATATAAATAGGCATTAGGCATTTGAAAGGAAAAGGTGTTGTCTGCCAGCAACAATTGCAGTGTAACTGCCAAAAAAGGTTCTAGTGCAATATTGTAATAAAGAAAAAAGAGCTGAGGTGGAAATGTTAGTGTGTGGTACAGGCAGGTCTAATACAGGCTTCCAGTTAGTAAGCAGCATCATAGGATTATACAGATAAGGGGTAAACGGTGCCAGCCAGAGGATATGAATGCCACCATGGCTGATTAATATTTTCACACTGTGTGTGTGTGTTTTAAATAAGTATAAAAGCTTGTGAGGTGCTAACGGAAAAAAAGACTTTAAATGAAATCTTTCCCTCACTCTGCCATTCTCTTTCCTCTCCAAAAGTTAACCCTTTATTAGTGAATGGAGGCAGAAACAAACCATACCTAATGTCAGATACGCGAGCGGGCATGGTTAGTTCAGGTAACTACTGGACCTGACCAATGATGTGTTTAAGTGTCTGTTGTCCTGTCTACCTCCTTTATCCCCACTTGATTGTAGCAGATGGCTGCCCCTCCCTGAGCCCTTTTCCGCTGGATGTTTCTTCCTGTTAAACGTACGTTTTTCCTTTCCACTGTTGCCAAGTGCTTACTCATAGGGAGTCCCCTCATTGTTGGGTTTTTCTCTCTATTATTGGAGGTAGCTTACAATATAAAGCACCTTGAGGAGGCTGATATTGTGTTTTGCGCTATATAAATAAACCTGAATTCAACTGAATTCAATTGAAAGATTCTCTTATATTTAGATCTGATATGGTGCTGTGATTTATGAATGTATTAGCTTCTTTTCATTCATTTCATCTGGTTTAAAAGTTTGAATGCCTCTAGTGCATCTGAGAATGTGAAAAGAACTTGTGGTGTAGATTCAGGGACAACTGTAATATAAGGCTAATGCCTACTCACATAGTAATTCCCATTCACTTTTAAAACTACATTCCAGCACTATGTCTAACTTCTGATGGATTTCAATATTTGAAAACACACAGTGAACAGACATTTTATTACTTGCACCTTGCTAGAACCGGATTGGACCAGTTTTGCATTTAAAACTGCCTTAAATCTTGGCGGCACAGCTTCAACAAGGTGCTAGAAGCATTCCTCACAGATTTTGAAGGTTTGACGTGTTGTGCCTTCAGAGACACTCCTCTGCATGCTTTGGTGGTGATGAGTGGTTATTTGAGTTACTGTTGCCTTCCTATCAGCTCGAAGCAGTCTGGCCATTCTCCCCTGACCTCTGACATCAGTAAGGCATTTCCGCCCCAGAGAATTGCCATTCGCTGGATGGTTTCTCTTTTTTGGACCATTGTGTGTAAAACCTTGAGATGGTTTTGTGGGGAAAATCTCAGCAGATCAGCTTTTTCTATACCAGTCCATCAAGTGTCAACAACCATGTCATGTTCAGCGCCGCTTAAATCAACTTTCTTCCTCATTTTGATGCTCAGTTTGAACTTCAGCAGGTCAGCTTGACCATGTCTGCGTATCTAAATGCAATGAGGTGCTGCCATGTGATTGGATATTGGATTAGATATTTG